CGCTTACTTCAGTGGTACCTGCAGTGTTTGGGGAGAGCCGATAAGCCTACGTCTCAATTTTATTGGTATGAAAATGCAAAATATAAAGCAGTGGTTACCAAAAAGTTAGAGAAGTTGACATGGAATGTTTGGTTCATGATAGAACATCGGATCAATTGTCTATAGAAATGAGAACATCAAGAAAGGTGCAGAAGTGGGGAAAGAGTGGCTGAATGATATGCATATGGGAGTGAGTGGGGAGTAAAATTATTTCCTCTGTTGGGTACAGTCAAGAATGGATGACAACTTAGCCCGCTATATCCGTTCATGTGTTCTTTAGGGCCCTCTGATATAACTGGTCTCTCTGCAGGAATATTACAACCCCAATCAGTCTATGTTGGAATTGGTATTTGCACCTGCAGAAGAGTGGATAAATCGCAGTGACTCAGAAATTATTGATGCTACAATGAAGGAACTAGCAAAACTTTTCCCTGATGAAATTTCGGCAGATCAGAGCAAAGCAAAAATATTGAAGTATCATGTTGTCAAAACTCCAAGGTCAGTAATCATTTTGCTTCCATAGTTGTGTAATAAGCGAGAATTACAGTCCACATGAATCTATTCCTATTCTGAATCCTGATTAATCTGCTTTTTTCTCTCAGGTCTGTTTATAAAACTGTGCCAGGTTGTGAACTCTGTCGGCCCTTGCAAAGATCTCCTATTGAGGGGTTTTATTTAGCTGGTGACTACACGAAACAGAAGTACTTGGCTTCAATGGAAGGTGCTGTCTTATCAGGAAAGCTTTGTGCCCAAGCTATTGTACAGGTTAGCTCTCACTTTTTTTTTCTTTCCATTGATAGTGTATTTGATTATATTTTGTCATCTTTGCTGCGGTAGAGAATTTTAGAAGCATTTCTCAGACATTAGTTGGCAGTATATGTTTCTGCAAGCCTGTTTCGATGAATTTGGTGAGAGGACCGGGGTTGTCAAGTAGTACAGCTTTACTTCTGGCAGACTTTCCTTCTCTCAACTTATACCTGCGAGAGAAATGGACGTCAAGTATGCCTTTTACTTATAATTGCTTATTCTGTGTCAACTTATAGTTCTCCAACCAATATAATGTTGAACCAAAAAACAAAATTGTGCACACAGATTGCAGAGTTACTCAGGATATCTGCACTTTTGGAGCCTCAGTAGTAGCATGATAAAATGCAGAGGGTTGTGTTTTTTCATTCTTTATTAAACCTTTATCTCTATATTTTGCAGGATTACGAGTTACTTCTTGGCCGGAGCCAGAAGAAGTTGGCAGAAGCAAGCGTAGTTTAGCATAGTGAACTAAAGTGTTGCTTCTGAATACTAAATTTAAGATGAAGGCGGCCACACTGAATTAGCGTTGTACACAACATATACAAGCACAGTACAACATTGAACCCAAATACGAGAAATGTTACACAAAATATGTGCTGCTTTCCCTCCGATTTAGTTGGCAAGTTACTAATTATAGGTATACTAGCAATACCTATAAGACATTAAGCTTCACGTCTTAAAACATCAAAAACCGCTTTTAGAGTAAGTATCCAACTGAGAACCATGCAAAATACAAAACTGAAACAAAGAACCAAATGGAACTACTAAATTTTAAATGGGAAGAGTCAATGAATTTTTTTTTAATTTGGTCAACTATTAAATAGTGCTCATCGAATGTGTTTGCAAGTATGGGATGCATATGAATTTGCAAAAAGTGTAAATGCTGATTTTGAAGCGATGGCTGAATGCATTGAAATTACTTAAAAATAATAATTAGATTTTCTATGTACAACTTAATATCTAAGCAAACTAGATCATATAATATGTACTACTATGTATCATTAGTCAACAGCTGCTCACTTACAACGATAGGATCAGGTAGCTTTTGTTATACTCTTTTGCACATACACTGTATTCAGATAAAAAATGCAAATAGATGTACGAAACAATCTACGAAAAGGAATGTTCTTGGAAGAAAGGCTCTCCCCAATACTTATCGTATCTTCACTCTGTTGGTTCACTGAATGTGTACTGTGGTTTTACTATACCCTTTTTCCTATTGCAGCATCACTTTCTTCTCAAAAAATTCCTCCAATTTCTAGGGAATTGCTACTTTTCCCCTACCAATAAGTTATGTACATTGTCAAGGCTCAAAGAGCAAGAGATTAGCATATCTACATAGCTTCTCATATGTCCAATACATTTGTATTTCTGCTTCTTAGTCCTACTTGGCAGCTCCGTGCACGAAAGCATTTCGTGTGCATGCAGGGTCGGGAGAAGGGTCGCACTTAAGGAGGTTTGATGTAGGCAGCCTACCGAACGCAAGCCATTGATGACCGATTCCACGACTCCAACATATGACCTATAGGTCACACGAAAATAAATTTACCGTTGCTCTAAATTAGTAATTACTTATCCAATCAAAATAAAGAGGAATATATCATTCTTTTGTTTGAGTTTATAACGAAGCTATTGGACCGACCTATTTTCTAAAATATAACCATGGGCATTGAGGGTTTCCCAGAAGTTGTATAGGCTCCAAAATCAAAGTGGAGGCACATGACTTTTGATTGGTGAAACTTGTGCATTGTCCTTGAAAATTAGAAGCTTTTAATGTATAAAAGACCCAAAAAAGGGACAGCAAATTATGTAAAAATGAAAAATAGATATGATGTATAACAGTATAAGTTAGGCTAGTAATGGTAGGGTTTGAATGCAAGAGTCAGTTGGCACTCCTCATTAAGCTAATCTTATAAGCTACTACAGGAAAATCTTATATGTTGGTGATGATTGATACAGCTGTATCATATCTTCTAATAAACTTCGAGATAATGATTTCTGACAAGAGTATAAACAAGTGGATCTATGGAGATTTGAGGTTGTCCAAAAAAGTGACAATTTTGGGTTCCTACAAACTGTATTTGCAATATTGTTATTTGCAACTATTAAAATATTAGATAAAAATATCCAAGCTCAGTTTCTTCAACTTAAATGAAGGTAGCATTTGAATTTCATCAACAAGTACATAAAGCCACTCAGCCACTCTACTTGGAGAGTACTTATTTGGGATTTAATATAAAAAAGAGGAAAATGGTCAAATTTACTTGAGATTGAGCAATTTGTCTTGTATTATCTTTTGGTCAAATAGTATTGTATACCGTCGAAATAGATTTCGGCCTTCCTACGTTCGATCGAGTTCGAGTGGCAAGAAACCGGAGTGGAATTTTGGGAATGAGCTCCGAAGACAGTACAAACGAGCCTCGAGTCCGAAGGCTGCTCGAGGATTCAGCTCGATAATCTTATCGAGCCCGTGACCAAATCGATCCGCAAGGCATTGCTTCGAGCTCGGAAATGAGCCACGCCCATCCCGAAGGTCGAACTCAAGCCAAGACCGAAGGGCTCGACCCAGTAACGAGTTCGAGCCAGTATCGAGCTCACAGACAAGAGTCGTTACAACCGCACCAAGAGAGAGAATCTTGGCGGGAATCGAGGAAGAGACAAATCATCATGAGTCCTCCACTATATGCGTTATTTTATTATTTTTTATTGTAAATAAAGTAATGACCCTCTATTATAAAACAGGGGATCCTTGTAAGCTATGGATATACTGAATAGACTAGAACAAAAAATCTTTTCTCATATACAAAGATATCTCCTTGTGCTTGTTTTACTTCATCTTACTCATTCTTTCTATTCATTTATTCCCATTCTCATAGTCAAGAATACTCGTATTGCTATCTTTGTATCAAAGGGTATCACGTATCCTTAGAACCATACATAAATTTAACGTTATCTGACTTTTCGGGTAAACAGTTTGGCGCCCACCGTGGGGCTAAGGATAACAGTGATTGTTTGATATAAAACTGCAGTACACACCAGTTTACAATTTCATATCAACAATGGCTTTACCTATCGACCACGAAGTCGGCCTTCAAGATGAAACTAACAACTTGGCACCCAGGGGCGGAAGGCCACTTGACGATGGCACTGAGGCTCGAATCAAAGTACCTAAAATTCGAGGCGAATCAGCGTTTCGAACCGAAAAAAAGCATTCAGAGCGGTACTCGATCCGTAGCCTGAGACTATGGCTGTCCAACGGGACGGGAGGGGACAAAATTAACGGGACGGGATGGGACGACATTTAGCCAGGACAGTGGCGGGACGGGACGAAATGGGACGGGACAAACGGGACGAAACGGTAGGCCCATCCCGTCCCGCTAACAAACGGGACAGGACAAAATGGGACGGGACGGACGGTAGGCCCATCCCGTCCCGCTAACAAACGAGATGGGACGGGACGGGACGGGTTCGCGGGCCTTAAGTGTCATTTTAAAAAAAATTATTTAAGCATTGAGTTTGACAACGGATATTCTTTTGGCAATGATTAAGTTTTTAAAGTTTGCAACATCTAGTTTTTTGACTTATTCAATAAATTTAAAAATTAAATAAAAATTAGGAAACTAAGTAAAGAATTATAAAATATTAAAACAAAAGACTTGTAATAAAATATTCTAGCAATTATAAATATATAATAGAGTTATAATTTATTTAATATAATTTCAATCCATTAAGTAACTAAGTAAGAGTGTAAGAGAATTCATAAAACAAATTCAACGCTTAGAGCCTTTTATTTTATTAATAGAACTTTCAAATCTCACATACAAATATAATTCTTTTGAAGAGCACCTAATCTATGTAGCTACCTTCTAGAAAGGGTTCTGTTTGAACTTTGAACTAGGCCTCTTAGTAGCCAATAAAAAATTATCATACTAATATTTGTAAGCTCCTATATAACTTCGTTGTAACTTATCTATAATTTCTCTCGGACATTGTTCTGGAATTGGCA